AAAATATTTGATTGTTGGTTTTTTTTTTTTGGCCCCCCCCCCCCCCCCACACACACACCACCACCAAAAAAAACAAAAATTAAATTTTTATCTTACAAGATCTGTTTTCTAGCTGTCTCTTCAAAAAGAAAGAGTCAAGCCTCTTTCATTAGTACTAGTAAGTTCTTTTTGAAAAGACAAAGGGACAATTATTTTAGCCAAATTATTAGGCCTAGTCATTAAATAAGATACTATAAAGTATAGGAATATAGTAATTTCCAAATGTACTTAAAGACAAACTAATTACTCTCTCCGTTTAAAAAAAATAACTTTATTTCCTTTTTAGTCAGTTTCAAAAAGAATTATCTCTTTCTTTTTTTGGTAACATTTTAATTTCAGCTTTTCATGTGGCATGTTTAAGGCCACAAGAATAAAAAATAATTTTGTACATTTGACATAATTTTAATTTAGGACCATAAGATTCAAAAATCTTCTTTATTTCTTAAATTTCGTGCCAAGTCAAACTAGACCATTCTTTTTTAAACGGAGGGAGTATCATTTATATATTATAAAAATAAGTACTCTCTCACTTTTCCAGATCCTGGATTTCTGGAAAATTGTTCAGTACTAATATTCTTTTAATCACTTGTTTAGTCATATCCCCTCATAATAACATCATTACAATCTTTTACTCACTAATTACATATTAAAAATTCCTCAGTAACCCCTCAATAATATTCATTTCGCAGTAGTTTAATATCTGTTCAAATTAGAAATTACTAAAATTATACTAATATCATTTTTTTTAGAAGTCCTTGCTCCTCCAAAGAGAATCGCTATCTTGTTTTACTCCCTGATCTCTGGATACATCTCTATATTTCTCCATGAAAATTGGTTCGTTGAAACTGTCAATATAGTAGAAGCGATAAGATTAGGAATGAGGATATTCGGACAAGATGAGATTTGTCTTTGTGATGGACAAGATGAGGGAAGTGAGACTGAGATGATTTGGGCATGTAAGGACTATTGAGGAGAAGTGTAGAGGTCACTGGTGCGGAAGATTGGATATAGTAGGCATAAGGAGAGGTAAAAATGACCGGAGAACGGGAGAAGTATTGGGAAGATATTAAGATATGACACAACTCTAGTTTACATGTAGAGATTGCGAATAGGATAAAATGATAGAGGATAGTGGAGTGTTGTTTGTTGTAGAATATCCTAATCTTGTAGTGTATTATTGCTTTTGATTTCTTTTATCATATTTGTTTATTGTGCTTCAATTTCGTACTATATGTTGTGTTGTTGTTATTGTTCTTTTGACTAGTTGCTATGTTTTTTTCACCATCATTTTTTCTTTGCTTTGATGTACTCAATCCGAGGGTCTTCTGGAAACAACGTTTTCACCTTCATGAGATAGAGATAAGGTCTCTACATTCTTTAAACCTCACTTGTGGAATTTCATTGAAAATGTTATGATTTCATTTTATGTGATACATTTTAATTTTTAACTGAACACAACGTTTAAGGAAAATAAAAAACCTTTTGAAGCTTATATTCTAAAAACAAGTCATCAATATTAATATGACTATAAATAATTCCATAAAAGTATAAAACGAGAAATATAAAATCAAATTGCTTCTAAATAAATAAAAACAGTGAGTCACATTGGGATAGAAGGACTAACTCAAGTCCCGCCATTGCCCATCGTAGCTGATTGAACAGTGGAAGCTGACAAGGTAGGAGAAGACGGTCCACCGCCGTTGATGGCGGAGCCTCCGCCGAGTAGTAGTGGGTTGTTGGGTTTCATGGAGTGGCACGTGGAGGTGGAAATAGCAGTGGCTAAGGAAATTGGCATAAGGCATAAGCCTTTTCCTTGAAGATACTGCATTGCTGATCCCATATCTTCTTCCATTAGCTTAGCTACCTGGTGCTCCGTCATCGTCATGCTGCTGTCGTTGTTTGCAGACGACGTCGTTCCGTTACTGCCACCCCGACCTCCATTTCCTTGTACACAATCACCTCCTCCCTGCAAAACCAAATTAATTTATTACTTAATTCCTTAAACAAGTAATTGTGACTATTACAACTTAAGAAAAAGTAAGGAATGTATTTTTTTTAAAAAAGTTTTGCAGCCTTAAATATGTCAAGATATATTTACAGCAATAAGAACATGCATGTTATCAAGGTTACTTGGGGGATCACAGTTTGCGTGAATAGAGTAACTTTAGCCCAAATCTCTAAATATATATAAATATTTGACTATAAATTTTATTATTATATATATTAACTTGGAAATTATTATAGAAATTCATAAAGTTTAAATCCTAAATCTATCTCTTACTAAGATGAGATGATATGAATATAAAGGCCGATTCAGTTTTGGAATTCTTACAAAGACATCAACTTAATAGTATATAGTTAAATATTTAGTGCATTTCTTAATTTGTATATAAGATTTTAACAAAAATTATTAGATTCGCATGAACTCGTAATTATACTATAGATCAGTCCTTATTGGACACCACCACTCTTCTCTAAAGATTTATAATTTGAGCCCGGTAAATGCAAAAAATTGTAATAGGGCCTACTTTCCATTTGAGGGATTCTATATAGCATGAATCCAAATTAATTGAAACGGAGAGTAAGAATACCGGGAGATAATAATTTTTTTGAAATACAAAATATGTCCTTTTTTTTTAAAACAAAGAAAAATAAAAGGGAAATCCCTTAGCTTGGAGGTGAAAAATAGGGTGCGGTAACGAAAAAAGGTGAGCACGCGTGAGCTTTTTGTGGTTTGTCACATTCTGCTGACAGAGAATTTGAGAAGGACAGATTAGAGTTATTTATCTGTTCAAGAATTGTTCCCATGCTTTCTCTACTGATCAAACTACTATGCCATTTTCATCCCCTGTTGATTTTTCTTTAAATGGAAAGTCTAATAGATATATTCCTCTACTATGCACTAGCCATTGATTCTATTTCTTTTTCCTTTATTGTACTCCATTAATAACAAATTAAAGTACAGCAAGTGAATGGTTTTTTTTAAAATTATTTTCTCACACGATATTATGAGTTTGCTAATTCAAACATTAAATGGAGAATTCTTATTAGGTTTTCATATTTAGGACTCGAACCTATACATCTGAACTCTGATTAAAGCGAAGAGATCCTACAATTCCAATAGAGGAGACATGCGAAATGACTGAAATTTCAACTAAGGTATGATGTAGTACCTCAGAGGATCTATCAGCAACTAGGGGAGCAACAGCTGCAGCACCACCCAATCTGCTCATACTCAGAACCTAAACACAGAGGAGAAAAAGAAAAATGATAAAAGAGAAGCAGAAACACCATGGAGTTATAGTCTTATAGAAATGGCCAATAGGATTTCTATTACTCCTCTATCCATGGGTGGAAGCACGTTGTGAGAAAGTTTTTTGCTTTATATATATATAAAAGAAATAGCTTGCATATCAAAATATTTGTGTAATATAACGGAAATGACACCACTTGACCTCAAGAGCTACATTGGGGCTCACTGGTTAAGTACATCTATTTTATCATTTAGGTCAAGAGCTTGAATTTGGCTCAAGTCATATAGTCTATAGAAATTACTATAATCTTTCCTCCAAATAAAAGTTATTGTAGTTTTGATCCCTCGACTCTGCCCTAAAATGGAGTAGCCTAATAGGAGTATCTAAAATGTTAAAGAAAATTTTCTCAAAGATGATGCTAATTAAGACCGACTTATAGAATCATTTATATATATATATTCCTTATCATATTTGTGTGTGCACGTCTATATATTTTGAATCTTCTATATAAAATCTTTGACTTCACCAACTATACTATAGACACATTCACAAAACATGTTGGAAATAACTATAACAGCATTTTCCATCCCAATTTGTCAACACGGAAGCATTGATCTGTTTCCAATTTTTAAGTCCAAAGAACAATAAATGTGGAGAGAGAGAGAGAGAGAGAGTACTTTGACTTGGAGCTGGAGGAACCTGACATAGTCGATGATCTCATCTAACATTGAAGCCTTGTCTGTCTGTCATCCAATAAATCACAATCACGTTAGTTCCTAATATTATATCGTTCGTTTTCCAATAATTATAACAGTTAGCTAATAAAATAATATATCACAATGTCATAAAGCACAATTGTTAATTAGTGTAATAGATGACTCATTATCTAGAAATACTATGTGTGAATTCAGAAGAGTTCGGTTTATGACCATTGCTAATATTTTAATTTTATGATTACAAGAAATCGATAGATAAAATACAAAAAATCAAGACAGAAATTTTTTTCTCAATGCAAATTGTAATTGGTTGTAGGATATTATTTCCTTGCAAAATGTAAGGAAACATGAAAACACTATTGAGTTGGAATCACATATACACTCCACACACACTTGGGATCTGATATTAACATTTCTATTACTCGATCAGAGCCAGCATCTAAATTGAATACTTTTGACATATAACAAATATTTATATGTGAAAATTCACTACACTACGATAAATAATAGATTTGTATTCATAATTTTAAAACTTATAATACTCTAGACTGAGAACCATAAATATTGAACTTATACACTAACTAATCGTAGATATAGTAATATACTACATGTGCTTCTAATTTAATAGTATTTGTATCTATCTCTATTTGACTTAATATATCACCATTTAACTT